GACTCCTCTGCCTCCTGGGCTAAGAAATGGCCTACTTATTTTCACCACAAATCACAGCGGTGAGACAGACATATCAGATATCATTACTCTTTAAAGCTTTAATCCGAGTGTTTGGGATGTTGGCAAGATAGTAGGTTTACATTATTTTGAGTGTCAGGAAAAAGTCTTGTCCCCTGGCGGTTCAATCTAAAATGATGTAATTCACACTTAAACTTGCTATTTTTAGTGCACTTGTGTGTTTATGTCAATTAGTACTGTGTGATATAATGCTCGAAAAGTTTATTAAAGGACCTTGTCTACTTCTCAGTCTCAGTAGCAGGAAGGGGAGGGACCCAGGATGTGTCATCAGCATCGACAATTACTCCAATGCTAACTATCATCACAGATAAAAACACATTGTGTCTTGTAGTGGTGTTTGGTGTTTATACATCATCAGTTTCCATCTTCTAAGTAGAAAGAAGCTTACGTTATCATGTACGGTCAGAGGCACGTAGAGTTGCAAATGTTCCCAAAAATCAAGTTTGTAGCTCAACATCTGCGCTTCCCATAAGTGTGCAACTTGTTGTGTTTGATTTGTACTACATTGTCCATTTAATGTACTACACAAGTAAGAAGTGTACATAGTGTACTACATGAAAGTATCCAAATTGAGACATGCTATGTATATGCTGCCAAGTGTTTAAATCTGCATTACTGTGGCATTTTGTGGCACTAAGGGTGGAAGAGAAGCAACTGACACATCCAGCACATCCAGACTAAACTGACAGTCTCATTAGAGTTGGGCTTCTGGCACCTGATAAAGCCAAGTGTCCGTTCACTGCTCTGTGAGTTCAGTTCAGGACAGGGCTGTTAGCTCAGAAGCTAAAGTAACGTTCCTTAACACCTAACTTGTTTCTTTTCTTGATTGTCCACCGTTTGGGAATATGCAAGTTTTCTTATTTAAAAAGTGCTCACTGCTACTGAAATACACTCATTAAATCATTCTGTGTGCATTATGTGATCATTAGTTAATGCCATCTCAAACTGCTGGTTACTGTTGTTCAGAGTTGGGAAAAGGTACCACTGCTGACCAAGGGTGTAACTTTGTGTTCAACACTGGGGGGTTAAGATCCCCACTCAGAAGGATAAGGGGAGTGTCTGAGGACAGGCAACCACACCGTACTGCCAAAAGCATTAGGTCGTCTGCCTTCCCACGCATATGAACTTGAGGGGCATCCCATTGTTAATCCATAGGTTAGTCCAGTCTTTGCAGTTATAACAGCTTTGAGGTTTTCCACAAGGTTCAGGAGTGTGTCTATGGGAATGTTTGACCATTCTTCCAGAAGCGCGTTTGTGAGGTCAGACACTGATGCTGGACCAGACTTCCAGTCTGCGCTCTAATTCGTCCCAAACGTGTTTTATCAGGTTGAGGTCAGAACTCTTGCAGGCCAAATAATTTATTCCACGACACACTCGCTTATCCATATTTTATGGACCTTGCTTTGTGCACTGATTCACAGTCACGTTGGAACAGGAAGGGGCCATCCCCAAACTGTTCCCACGAAGTGAAATATTCCAAAATGTCTTGGTATGCACCTGTGGACATGGGAGAACACCTGAATTCAATGATTTGGATGGATGACTGAATACTTTTAGCAATATAAACAGAGTGAAGTGATTTGCAAATCTCACGGATCCATATTTTATTCAGAGCAGAGGAAGCATATCATATATTTCAACTGAGACATTTTACTCTTTTATGAAAAATACTGGCTCATTTTGAATTTGCTGTGCAGCATCCCCTCTGTTTTCAACAACAGTTCATAAACATCTGGGAACTGAGGAGACCAGTTACTGGACTTGTGGAAGAGGAAAATGGTCCCATTTTTGTCTAGAATTCTAGATCAGGACCTATGACAGGATCCAAATTACTTGGACATAAAGTACTTCTTTATTTACACCGAAATGAGCTAATACACTTTTTAATAGAGGAGGGGACAGTGATATATCTGAAATAACACAGCAAGAGTGTCACATTACTTATTTACTGAAGCAAAAGATATTGCAGAGAAAATTAAAGTTTTTGACTGCTGAGTCTTTGGCATTTCCCCCTGTTTTTGCAGTACCAGCAGAATATGTAAGTAGCCTCACTAATAGCTTTTCCTTGGACTCCTGTCTCCAAGTAGTAGAGCTCCAATTCTAATAATAGTCTAGAGGTATAGCATAATGATACACAAAGAGGCAGGCATTTTTCTTTAACAAAACAAAGGATTTGCATCAAAAATCAAAACAACCTGTCTATAAATTTTAACGTTACTTCAGCATTTCTTTTGCTTCAATTCCTCTTCTGTAAACCATCAAGAAAAAATAATCGCCCTGCCAAAAGGACGGGGGTGTAAAGAAAAATCTTGCACAGAGGTGAAAGAGAGAGTTGTTTTCTGTGGCGGCTGAGCGGTGAGGGAGGGATGGGGAGTGTAGAAGGGTTGGGAAGAGGTGGGGATAGAGGAAGAGGAAGGGGAGTGGGGTGGTGTTACAGACCTAAGCAGGTGTGACAGTTCTGAAAGCTTTCATGGGGAAAAAAAGGTTTCTCTGGCCTTGTAGCGATGCTAAACTGAGCGTGACCCTCAGACTGAACCCAGCCATCTTTCTCGCTCACTCTCACTTGCTTTCGTGCCTAAACCTCCCAAGAACAGGAAAACCCTCCGCTGACAGTGTGAAGACTAAAGGATTTAAGTGTACAAATTCCTATTCTCCTTCTATTTGTCCTGCCACCGATTTCATTCTATCTCTATTTTCCCTTTACCATCGTGGCTGGAGGAAACATACTGTAGAGATAAAAGCTTTCCATTTACAATGGGATATCATCCATTTAGTGTCTCTTCTGATATGATGGTTTCCAACATGATTACATTTAGTCAATATGCATTGAATTATATTGGTTTTATGCCAGATACCAGCCAGAAAACATTATTGGAGCATGATATGGGAGGTTTTTAGCAAGCAGCATTTTTCTAGGAATTTGTGTGGCAAAAAAAACCAACAGTCCACTGCTCCATACTGAAATACATTTTGACAAGAACATGACTTATTTATTCTAAATTCGTGGTCTGAGAGGATGGATCCTTTAGTATTCTTCTGAATTCTCATCAACTTCTAACAGCAAGTCACACGTTTCACTAGAATCTCAATAACTATATGGAACTGCATGGTTCTCAGATGATGTATCGAAGTTCATTTGGTAACCCTGTAACTGTTTCTCCGGTGCCACTGGGAGGCTGTATGGAAGAGGATTAGGAACACTAGGGAAAAATGTGGGGATGTGTTTTTTTCAGTCATGCTAACATTTACCCTAAAGCACAGCTGTGCTGAAGTCCAGCTTCACTGAGGCAGTAGTCTCCAAGTCCTGTTATACTGCAGTTTGTAAAAACGGCAGTGAAACCTGCCATAAGGAGCTGCTGAGAATTTCATTAGTTTGACTTTTAGTAAAGTTTCAGACTCCCATGATGCTCCAAATGCTGTTTCACATGCTCTTCTGCCCTAACAAGGATGAAACTCCAGGGGAGCGCTGAATTCTTGCCATTTTTACGAATCTGTGGGGCATGAAAAATGGTCAGATGCAAAGATCTGGAATAGTGATGGCTTATATAAGCCTAACCCCAGTGTTTACCTCCTTCCATCTGCCCCTGTTTATCCCAGACTGTGGCCCTGTATGTTAGGGGACATGGGAAGTCCACACGAGCAGAAGGCAAGAGCACAAGCTATCCGATTGGAACTCCTCCACCTGCCAAGAGAAGTAACTCTTCCTTTTATGAGCCAATTGAAATTCAGCTCACAGGCGATCCATTCTGTCAATGACATGAGGAGTCAGGACAACCTTGCAACCCCCAACACTAATAACACTGTAATGGTCAGAGATAGATCAAGCTGAGCGCTGATAGTTAGAGCAGGTCTTCAGCCTCTCATAAGTGTTGACTGCAGTCAATTTTTGCCTTCATTTGTTTTGAGCAGATGCATGCCTGGGTACACCTGCGGTCGATTGTAATAGTTTTCAGTCCGGCGGCCGACTGACAAATGATCTGCAATTTCAGCTATTCGCTCAAAGAGGATCTGCCCAGGCATAATGCATGCCACTGTATGTACTCAAATAACCAATATACAGGAAACCGCCTTCTTTTACTTTGCATGGACCAGTCAGCTGTACCCTCTGACACCATGTGCTCCACAGAATGGCACTGCAAGGTTCATTACCGCTTCCAGAATCAATCCTTGAGCTGTTTCTCCCAGACATTAGGCTCACGGCTGCTTTTCGCTCACACATAAGTGTTTTTGAATCAATAGACAGCTGAGAGGAAAACGTGTAATTCGACTGAGAAAGGGTTTCTGTTGACAGACCCACTTTAAGCTGCACAGAGACCCGCTCCTTGTCGTTGTCGTCACTGCCACTAAGGGGCAGTAGAGAGCCTCAAATGAACGCGGCACATCTTCAGGGCACACTATCTTCACTGAAATTCTGTTTACTAATTAAACACTGTGGGTGTCATCATCTATTATTATCCTGCTCACACCACTTAATATACAACCGATGTTAAAAGGTCCTGTACAACAGCACATAAGAGATAGAATATTTCTATTGCTACATATGTATGACTTTAACTGCACAGACTAATTGTATTCTTCATGTGAGAAAACTATAATATCCACAAGACAGATTGAATTATTGTGGCTTACTTCTACAGACATCACAGCAAACATATGAGGACATATTTTAAAGCATGTGGCCACTCTTGAGCACCTCTAGTTCAGCGGGCCACCCTATTGTATCTCTAAGTTTCCCCTAATTTAAAGTATGGGGTGGAGGGTGTGGGGGAATTGAACACCTTTGGGCAGTCTAGACGTTTTTATTATGACAGTAACTCGCTCCAGAGCGGACACACCCATATCACTATTGAAAATCTGATAGTGGGATTGTCGCTCCTGGAGGCGGCGCATCCGAACAGCACACAGTAGGCGGCGTCAGTCCGGAGAAGTACGTCCCTCTGAGCTCACTTCCGTCGGTTTGAGTTGGCTGTTCTTCCAGCGCCTCGCAGCTTTTGTTCTCCCATTTCCAACTAGCCAGCGCTGCTGAGAAGAGGGAACCAACCGGTTGGGAAGCGGCAAACAGTAACGGACCCGTCGGTCGCACAAAAACGCCACATGCAAAGCACGGTCTGCAAAGAGGATACGCGGTTCTCCGTAGTTACATAATTGGACTACTTTTTCCTCCCCGTATACTGTTGGGTTTATTTTTCTCCACGCTTTATTTTTTTGCACCGAAACTGACTGCCCCCCCTACACCTCCAAACTCAACAAAATGGAGAACGACGACAAATATCTCCCCGAGCTTCTGGCAGAGAAGGACAGCCTGGACTCGTCGTTCACGCACGCCATGAAACTTTTAAACGCGGGTAAAGTACTGTTACACTGTCTTTATTTTTGTTTTGTTGTGAATTTTTCCACCGTACGCTTTATCCTCTGGAGTTGAGGAGAGCGGCGCCATGTGTTTGCGGACGGGACGTGAACTACCCCGTTCACCGCTACGCGGAGACGAGGTCCTATTCATGGCTCAAAAACAAAGAAAAATACGTGTGGGCGTTAAAATCTGTAGTTAGTGAACGAATAGCGTCTGAAAGAGTAAAGCGCTTAAAGCTATCGCTACACTACGGATGAGCTACACTTTTCAGTTATTGCGACTAATATCCGCTTCCTCGCGTGCAGCTTTTGTCGCACCTGCTCTTTTCTGTAACTGTCGGTGCTCGCGCGAGTTTAAACTTGGGCACGCGGGCTGTTTCCGTCGTGTGCTCTCGAGTCCCTGTTGATATTATTGCGCAGCAGCCTGTGAATGTGCGCTAATGTCCAGGAGCGGGGGTCACCTCAGTACTTTAAAGCCGAGAATCGGCCTAGCAGAGGCGACAAAGAGCCTTTAACCGCGGTGCTTGCCGATGGCCACTGCTTAAGTGTCCTTGAGCAACAAAACTGCAGCCATGGCCGCCCCGGGACTGCTGCCTTGCAGCTGTGTTGAAGCGAGGACAAGTGGACACACACACCTACCTAGTAGGACTGTGTGAGTTGGTCAGCTGTCCGTAATACAAAAAAGGATGTTAAAAGCTAGCTATGACTGCTTTATATAAACAAATGTGATTATTTAGTTATGTCAGCCATTGGCCATGTGCTCTGTCAGTAATTGTGAAACTGGTTTTATTTTATTTTATTTATTTGCTTAACTCAGGTAGCCCTGGTGATAATGAAGTTGACCGTTTGGAAAACGTGATTTGGCGAATCTAGGCTGCGTGTGTGAAATTTGGAAGCGTGGACTAACCAGGAAGACAAAGTGTGTCAGGGTGTGCAGTGTGGATGGGTTCCCTCGGTGAAACCATCTACTCAGGCTTCTCCTGATCTGCAGCTGGTAGACTGTGGTGTAAGCTGGCATGTTTGCACATTGAAGGCTCGGGAGTTGTCACAGTCAGGAGGGCGGAGGTGGTTTGAGATGGGAGTACTGCAATGGGTGCTGGAGGGGGAAAACCAGGTGCTCTGCCACAAGGAAGAGGTTACAGAGGATGCTCGCAAATACTTCGTGTTGATTTGTTTCCAGTACAGATTAGAGTTGGACTGTTTTGATTTTTGTTAAAGAATGAACAAGGTCTGAGATGATTTGGCTGATCAGCTGTTTAGGGTGACATAATCACAGCAAAATGGTCTTTTAGAGTGAACAACAGCGAGAGAATGGGCTACGATTTGTTTGATAAATGGCCAAAACTATTCATCGGTGATCAAGTGTTTGCCTTTTAATGGGTCGCTAAGCTGTTTCACTGCTATTCAAATGAACACAAATGTGCAGAGTGAAGCAGTCAACGCACTCAGTGGAAACTGCCGTTGTTTGGCATTCAGTTAATGTGGATTTGCTTGTGAATCAAAGACTTGCAGAGGTGTGTGTTACAACCACGGGAACGGGCTAAAAAGTCAGATGTGTTTTCCCCTCAGAGGGCCACAAATCATAGAAGTGATGCTGCGCTTTACACAGTTGGGACCAGATTTGTATTAATCCAACTCTAAACAGCTGATGAGTGTATGCACAACTGGTTTTTAAGATCAGGTATTAACTCTATCCTGGTGGTGCTGAATCCCTAAAGTTGGTGCTTTCTGGTTCACGTAAGCACACATAAGTGCTTCTCATCATTGTGTTGTATGTTGCCACTCTGACTGTTTGGTTGCCTGAAATGATCCCTCTCATCTTCCAGAAATTGACAGAATCCAGAAAGGTGAGACTAAAAAGGAAACTGAGACATACCTGGACCTTTTCACGACGAAGAACATCAAACTCAAGGAGCGAGTGCTCATACCTGTCAAACAGTACCCGAAGGTGAGCTTTCTTTGTCTCCCCTCTTTTCTCCTCCTCCTCCTCCTGTCGTCTCCCGCTTCCCAGCGAAACCCCTCTTGATTTAATTTATCCTGCAGCTGTGTTTCAATTACACAAAGCCACGGGGTTACTTGGGAGTCTCAAATTACTCCTCTCAACCCTGATCTTTAAGCTCCAGAGTATAATTACAGCCGATACTGGCATGTTTTTAAAATCTCACTAAAAGGGATCAAAATGTTAAAATGAGTATAGCTGGGATGGCTCTATATTTCAGTGTAATTCATACTGGTGCTCAGATCTTTTCCTGTTTCCATCCCGAGCCTTACTTAGGTTTATCATTTAACCTCAGGTGCATTCAGCCATATCTGTTCAATCCATATCTGGCTCAGACGTAAGGCTGCATTGATTTTAGGATGAGTGTTTGTGATAAAGGCTGTAATCTGTCCTGTAAAACTCAGAGAGCATGCTGCAGCTGCACAATGCATCATTTGCATGCTGCTAAAAAATAAATAAAATAAAAAGATTAAGTTGCCAGAGTCAGTGTGGTGTCTCTTTTATGGCCCATTGTGTAACTTCTGGTGTTCAGTGCTCTTTTTGAATAGAGCAAACTGCTTTATAAAGAATGAGATCTGTTGGTGCTGCTTCGTTTTCAGCGTCGGATCGATGAGCTGTAGGAGCATCTCCTGTTCTGTGAGGGTCTGATCTCTCAGAATGGGGATGGACCAAATTGGATGGACTCTTGTCTGCTCCACTCCAGTGAAGCAGTCAAGAGGCAGGTGAAGTGAGATAATATTATTCAATGCATTATGTTCCTGCAAGTGCAGCGAAAGCTTCCAAACTTTTAAGCCGAGCCAGCGAGCGACAGAAGCTGTCAGAGGGAGAGAGAGCCCAGTTTTGTTTTTGGTTTTTTTGTTTTTTGTTTTTTTTGGACCAGTCGAGTTGTGATTGAGTTTAAAATAATTGCAAACATGCATTTCAGACATTGGCATTGCAGGTGTGTAATGCATCCAGTCTGCTGACCCTTTAGGGTTTTGAGGTGGAATAGGACTGATGTACTCCAAATGCAGGACAGGTGCATCCCTAACACCGGCCTTGGGTTTTAGTTGCTCCGTCACACTGCTGTGTCGGGCACGACACAGCTAATGAACGATTCCGATTATTGGAGCTGCTTTTACTACTTCAGGTTGAAGCGAGGTTCCTTTGGGGCGGCTTTTTGCTAAACGTTTCTGGCAATGACAGCTAATTGCGGGACGCATCATACACACGGTAATTACTTTGTTGAAAGATCGAGGAGGTAAAGTTCTGGCTCACTGCATGGATGATTGCAGTGAATAGCAAACGGCAGTATTACAGCCCTCGGGGGCTCATATCGACTTTGTCTGTTAAATCTACTACTTAAGGCTGCAGTATGTGCAACAAGAGCCCTGACAGACAGACGGTGATTGCCTCTCCCTCACTCTCCTGGTATTAAACTCGCCTCTGCCGTGATTGTCAGGCTAATTTTGTTCTGCTTTGTTTTGCTGTTAGTTCAATTTTGTGGGGAAGATTTTGGGACCTCAGGGCAACACAATCAAACGTCTGCAGGAGGAGACTGGAGCCAAGATCTCTGTGCTGGGCAAAGGATCCATGAGAGACAAAGCCAAGGTACACACACATGCTTACACACATCTGGTCTTATGCACCTGTGGGAAGGTTACCTGAAGCAATAACACATCTGGCCTTTGCTTGAGCGGGATGACAGTTAGTGAGCCCAGATGGAGTCAAGTTGCTGGATGGCTCAGCTGAACATTAACACTCAGCCAAGGGCATTCAAACACTGCACATCTGCTCCAGAGTCTTCAGGATAGCCCACTAAACCTGTTATCTACCAGTTTGATGTAATTATCAAGCTATACAAAGGAAGGGAATACTGCATATAACCCCTGTTGCCCTCTGAGGTGGAATAAATGTGATTTTTCTCCTTGCATTATTCATTAAATGTTTGAGCTGGCTTCTTCTCACTCTCTATGATGGTTTTTCTTTCAGGAGGAGGGGCTGAGGAAAAGCGGTGAGCCCAAGTATGCCCACCTCTCCATGGAGCTGCACGTGTTCATCGAGGTTTTTGCGCCTGTGCCCGAGGCTTACCTGCGCATGGCCCACGCCATGGAGGAGGTCAAGAAGTTCCTGTTTCCGGTGAGTTTGCCAGTTCTGCTTTTGGTCATCTGTGAACTTGCCTGTGTGGAGTTTAGTAGAGCGTTTTGTGCCGTTTATTAACTGCAAAACTAAGCCTGTAAAAGGTCAGCAATGTGGAAAACACTCAGCACCTTAACAGGGGGAAGTGATGTCGGGAGATTTCTCAATTTTAATTCAGAGTCAGAGTGAGAATAGTTGAGGTTAAACATGACTTTGCCATGAGAATAGAGACATTTTCGTTGTAGCTTAAAAGAAGATGCTTCGTTTTGTTTTTTTGTTTTTTTAATTATGGATTTGCTTTCCAAAGATCACCTCACACAAACACTGTTTTGAATCCAGGATTTGCTTCTTCTCTCCTGTATAAGTGTATTTTTATATTTGTATAATTGAAACAGCGCTTCCTTTTCTCAGTGATATCTGAGGCCTTGTACAGGCTGAGCTCTGGCTGCAGTAAACGATTATTTTCATTGATCTGGGTGCCCATTCTTTTCTTAAACATAATCTAATAAATGCTATTGAAGATGATGACGGTGCCGTTTTGCTGTCTTAAATCCCAGGTAGATCTTTGAAAAGGGTTTTGTCTCATTCCCTAACATGACTATCTTCACCGCCATACAAGAGAGGGAAATATAAATAGTCAACCCAGTTAAGCTGGAATTGGGGAATTAATTGGTATTACTTCTTGAACAACAGGAGATTAATTGAATCACAAAGTAGTTGCCTCTTAATTTTCAACTAAGTAATTGGCTAATCGTCTCAGCTCTGATTTGAGCTGCATGCACGCAGTCAGCAAGTTTTTCTTCAGGCCCATTTGCACACAGATGTAGGAGATGTCAGTTTCGTAATATGACTTTATTTTCCGCTTGGTTTTGATTCAAGATTGGTTTTTAAGCTCGTTATTGATTGAACTTTGAGCAAATCCTCACAAATGCCTTTAAATCTGAAAATCACACTCACCCATACCCACTTTCATGCAACTTCATGATTTCTTTAATTGCAGAGGTTAGAAGTTGTTTTGGATTGTAAATGCAGTTTCCCCACCGCCAAGCTGGGAAAAGTTTGTGAAGCTACACCGTTGTGAAGCTACACCGAAAGTGTTCTCGTGGTAATCGAGTGAAATTACGTTTCAGAAAGGTGGAGAGAGCCGCAGCGTGCTGGTTAGACAAAGCTTTGGGAGGAGGGCCTGCTAGGACAGCCGGAGGAGATTGAGTGGGTATTTACCTGGAGCAAACACATTCTGCGGCACAGTCCAGGCACGTAAAGCAATCAGCTTAAGAGGAGGAATTGGGCCGCTTTCACTGTGTCAGCAGGGTTGCCCCCTTCATGTGGCTTGCCTACTTTTCTGCTTTCACCTGAGTCTCATTCTTCAGAGAGGAGAATCGGCCTGGAGTTGTAGAGCTTCGAGGCGGATATGTGACCGTATTCACTGTACGCAGCCCACGTCTGCTTTGTTGGTTTTATGCTGAGAGATTCTTGAGTGCCGGCCAGCTCGGTGTGCTGTCGGGCCCAGCTGAAGCCCACAGTCCTCTCACAATGGCTCTCACCAAAGCAGGCCAATAGGCCCAGGGGTTTGTGAGCTGCCTTACATTTTTTTAATTAGTGTGCAGGGCACTATAGAAAGAATAATTTGGAGGCTAGATGAATGGGCTGATGAACCAGCTGCGGTGTTGGTGTTGCTGCGTTATGTAAAAATCAGCCGCTTACAGAAGCTGTCGTTACAGTTTAAGACCATAATCTGTCAGGCGTGACGGCCTTCATTTAGAGCAAGGCTGTGTTTTAATAAATGACTCAGATGGAGAATGGGTGGATGTAATTTGTTGCTGAAACTCTTATGTATTGCCTGTACTTCTGCTTAGGTATTCCACAGGGATGTTCCTGGTGACTAATTTATTTTTTTTTTTTTTTTTTTTTTTGGGAGGGGGGCTCAGATTGATGGAATGGCCTCAAAGTAGGAAAACTGAGCATGGAGGTGGCTGAATGCATGTTGATTGTTGATTTACAAGCCATTTGAAATTAGAGCAGGGCGATATGACCAAAAATATTTATCACGATATACATTTGAAAATTTGCCATAACGATGTAACTGACGATGTAATTGACACTAGACAAAATACTTTACAACTCCACAACTTGTTTAGTGCAAAAAGAAAAAACATCAATATATTTTCACTTAAACAAGCAGCTGTTTTTTATGTGCATGAAAGTTATATAAAAAATTTAACAGTGCAAATTCCTTACTGACCGTTTAACCAAAAGCCATTTCCAGTGGAAACTGGCCGACATATCCTCAGCATAACCATGTATAATATCCACAAAACTTAAAAAGAGGTCATACACACACAATACAGTAATATTATGTTGATGCACAGTACGTATCACTCCGCGAGGCTCCTGCCTACGACAGCTGTAATGCTCCGACAATCCATCAAGCGGTGTGGCTTCGTAGCTTAGCAAAGTCGTACTAAAACATTTGACAGATTTTCGAGCGCCGTGTACATAAAATCGTTTCCAGGTCAGTAAACACAACCAGAATTCATACATAAGGCACACGGGATTATAAGGGGCACTGTCGATTTTCAGAAAAATCAAAGGATTGATATTAAGTGTGCTGTATTTTCCACAAAACACGGTAATAACGACGGCCCGCTAGCATGCTCTACCAAAAACAGTGCTTTGTTGTGTATCTGACGGACGAAAGCTAAACCAGTTCCACACCACTGAAGTTGCAGCATTTTTACAAACCAATTCTGGTTCATCCGTTTCATTCAACGATCTGCTTTCGCCCTTCTCATTCTCCGCCATGTGCGTATGAAAACAAAGGCACTGCACATGCGCGTTTTACCCATATTCTATTGCGATATTTCATTTTCTTATCGTTGCCCAACATTATACCGGTATTAACGTGAACGGTATGATATGGCCCAGCCCTATTTGAAATGTCATTCTCCTATAATTATTTTAAATTGGTGCAGGTGTAGTCATATGTAGATGTGTCAAACAGCAGCTCCACTGTCCGTGCAGGTTCGAAGCCGCATGCATGTAAAGAACACAGTTAACACATTGCTGCATTGGAGTGGCTGTGTGCCAGTTTACTCTGACATGCAACTGTTTGTGTTTTAGATCACAGCAGTTTTGGTGTCATACTGGTCCACAAGGCTGTCAGCTGTCTTACTTCTCACCTTGTATGTTTGTAACTTCCTGTCAGAGCGAGAGAGGAGGTTGCTGCTGCAGCCCAGGCTAGTGGCGGGAGGGCTGAATATCGGCCATCTTAGACTTGAGAGTTATTTTATTTAAAAAAATTAGTTTATTTGACTAAGACAGTGAGTCTCTCACAGCCCTGTGATTTCAGCAGGGTTTGTCTTCTTTTTTCTTCCTCATCCTGTTTATTTGTGTATATCTGCACATCGACCAACGTGAATGCAGAAGGATTTCTCTCTCTTCTATTGATCGTAACATCTACAGATCCTTGATTAAACTCAACACCTTGTTGGGTAAAGACTTTGCATCCTCTGCAGCATCAGCTGGACTGCTCCTCCCTTCAGATGAATTTCTAATCAGTCAAATGCTCTGCCTGCTTTTGCTGCAGATAAGTTGAAAGCTGATGTCTGCATCTCATATTCCAGTAGTTTTTTGGTTTTTTTTGGACATCATTAGAGCTCTGTCACTATTCCAGTCTGGGGAGTGATATGAAAAAGAATTGATTGGGTCACAGTGCAGCTCTTGTGATTGCTCCCAGAAGCAAGGCGGAGGATTGGGCTGCAGGATTTGTGCTGCTGAGACAGGCAGCTTGGCTAATCCACCCCAAGTTATTGTTTTTGCAGATAAAATAAGGTAACTGCTCATGCAGTCACACCAGACTTGTCAAGGAGTGTGCAGAGAAGTGATTTACATTTTGTGCATGATGGAGAGACACAGGAAGGCACAGAGTGTGGATGGATGCTTTCCAACCTCCAGCCTCCCACATCCACATCCCCCCTCCTCTCTTTAACACTCTGAGTCACTGGCACTGAGACTTTTTCTTCCAGTCGCTCTGTTAGCCGTTGGGAGGGGTGGCGTGTTTTGAGCAGCTCGGAAATGATTTCACTCTTTTATTCATCACTCCTCTTTCCACGCTCCCTCCTTTCCTTTCTATTTTTTCTTTTCACAGTCACTTTTCCATTTCTTTTCTTCTTCTTCTTCTTTTTTTTTTTTTTTTGTCTTAGTATTATCGTCCTCACTGTGTGTGTTTGTGTGTATAGGATATGATGGATGATATCTGCCAGGAGCAGTTCATGGAGATGAGCTACCTGAACGGAGGCCAGGATCACGGAGCCCGAGGCCGAGGTGGCCTGCCAGTCAGGGGCCGCGGTGTCCCCCCTGCAGGAGCACACAGGTGAGGAAGTGCACACAAACACACACAATTTCTCATGACAGCTGCTGCATCACTGAATATGTATGTATGTATGTATGTATGCACATACATACATTTTTATTGTTGTTGTTTCCCTCTCAATGATTTGGAATGCTTGGGGTCCTCTCAGGCCCAGCAGGCTGCCCGGCTCTATATGCCGTCAAAAGCCTAAGTTTGATACCACATCTTAATGGTTAATATTAAGCTACAACCACCTACCAGTTAGCTGAGCTTAGTATTTAAAAAAGAAACATATAATCAGCTATTCTTACCCTGCCAGGAGTTTAAAGATCACAAATAAATAAAATTTTTAAACAAACTCATTTTCTTGGCTGGTATCAGATTTTTACATTTTTGCCAAGTTTCTCTGTCAGCCTTAAAAATCCTGTACCAGTTGGGCTCTAGAGTTGGGTTGCTTTTTGCCCCTGCTGCTGTCTTTATGCAAACCTACCTGTCTG